CACGGGGCCCGGGTTCGATTCCGGTCAAGGGCCCCTACCTTGGTTGCAGGCTCCTCCCCGGCCTGGGCCCTGGTCAGGGCTCATGCAGGGAGCAACCAATCGATGTGTTTCTCTCACATCGACATTTCTCTGTCTCTCCCTCTCTCTTTCACTCTCCCTAAGAATCAATGGGAAAAAATCCTCGGGTGAGGATTAAAAGTAAAAAATAAGTAAAAAGATGCCGATTTGAAGGGCAGGAGGAGGGCGGTTTCTCTGTCTCACACAGGAATGAGCCTGGACCTTCCAGGCCGGACAGCGGCTTCTGAAACAACGGTCCCCGCCAACGGTGCCGCTCCAGCTTAGGGTTTCCATTTCCAGCAAACCGAGGGGAAACGAAAACCCCCCACGGCTGTTCCGCTGCTCAGGGGGCCTAGAAGCAATCACACGCCCCTGCCCCCCGCGCCCCGGCCTCCACTTACCCAGCAGCACTGGCCTCAGGGTGAGCCTCAGGAGGCAGAGCACACTGCTCTCCATCTTCAGCCTGAAGAGAAAAGGGAAAAGTCAGGAAACAGTTTTAGAAGTTCACTCACGTCACCCCCACAGCGAGGCCTCCGGCGCCCCCCAGGCTCTGGGCGCAGCGGAGGGAAGACAGGCAGCGGCTGCGTGGGAGCCAGAGGCGAAAAGCAGCCAACATGAACAGAGCGGCCGGGGTGGGGCTGCCTGCTGCGAGGCCTGGGAGTCGCTGGGGCTGCCTGAGCTGAGCTGGAAGGGCAGATGGGATGAAAGTTGCTTTTCAAGAGAAAAAAAGCACATGTTTTGAGAATGCCCTGGCGAGGACAACCCTGGACATTCCACAGCCTGAGTTTCACGTGGACAAGACGACGGGACGCTCGGCCTGAAATTAACGTGACCACCTTTAAACCGATGAAGGCCGCCCAGGCCTTAGAGCAGCCGTGGGCAAACTACGGCCCGTGGGCCGGATCCGGCCCGTTTGAAATGAATAAAACTAAAAAAAAAAAAAGACCGTACCCTTTTATGTAATGATGTTTACTTTGAATTTATATTAGTTCACACAAACACTCCATCCATGCTTTTGTTCCGGCCCTCCGGTCCAGTTTAAGGACCCATCGTGCCCCTCGAGTCAAAAAGTTTGCCCACCCCTGGCTTAGACAGAGCAGGGAGACTCTGTAGCCGGGTGCGGGACCACTCAGCTCGATGGCACAGAAGCCACAGGAAGGAACGCCTTCCGCTTGCTCTGTGAAGCCTCCTCAGACAGGGCCGCCTGCGCAGAACGAGAGCTGGGCAGCCCGGGCTGGTTGGCTCAGCTGGTTGGAGCATCATCCCATAGATGTTTCTCTCTCACGTCGCTGTTTCTCTCTCTGAAATCCATAAACAGCCCTTGCCAGTATGGTTCAGTGGATAGAACATCGGCAAGGGTCTCGGGTTCGATTCCGGTCAAGGGCACATACCTCAGTGGCAGGCCTTTCCCCGGCCCGGACTCTGGTTGGGGCTCCTGCAGGAGGCAACCAATCGATGTGTTTCTCTCACATGGATGTTCTCTCGCTTTCCCTCTCTCTTCCACTCTCTCTAAAAACCAATGGAAAGCTATCCTCAGGTGAGGATTAAAAAAAAGTTCTAAAACAGTCCTTACCTGTATTCTAATCAACCACAGCTCCACAAGGAGCACCAGGGTCACACTGTCCGAGAAGGTCCGACCTGGTCCCAACTCCGAGGAGAAGTCAGTGAAACCCTGAACCCCGATCCTCAGCTATCACACCGGCTGCGAATGCAGGGACCGGCGCTGATAGTCTCCGTGCTTTGAAGAAGATAAGCATAACCACAGAAGATCCTATTCTTTCTAACCCGAAAGGCAGCAGGCTGTAGCTTTCGGGGGAGAGGATGCGGTTAGAGCATCTACCTTTAGAAGATTAGCAAATAATTCATTTAAATGAGCTGGGAACGTGGGAGTTTCCATTTCTGAATCCCAGCCCGCGATGTCGATGATGACGACACCGACTGAGATACACCAGAAGTGACGGTAAGTTTCCTCGAGCACAAGTACCTCTAGGCAAACACAGGCCCCTCAAGGTCACCACAGCCCTATTCCTGCTCCGTGACACCCACCTCACCCCCACACACGGTGAGCATGATAAAGGAGGCCCTTCACAGCATGCCATGCCTTTGGCACATCACCCTGGGGCCTCCTCAGAGTTCTGGATGAATTATTCTCCAGGGAGCTGTGCTCCGCCCCTGCCCGGCAAACAGCTTCCGGAAGCTCCCCACACACCGCACCACCTGCACGGAGAGGTGGTGCTCCACGTACGTGACTAACACCAACCACATTCCCTCCACACGACTGAGGGCAGGCCCACACGGGTAAGGGCGACAGCTGCCGGAAAGACCATCAGATGGAAATCACCTTAGTTCCCTGCAACTGCACCCCGCTACTGTCAGGGGAAACCAGCAACCTCCAAAGGACCCGAATCTGATCCCCAAACTCAAGTCGCCCAGAGCCACGCCCAAACCATGTTCAAACAATCCCTAGGAACTGGGAAAACCATCTGATAAATAACAGAGCCATTTTCAGTTCTAAATACTCAAATGCATCACTCGCTGTGTAAATGAACAGAGAAGCAATGATTTAATGAAGGGGGAAAAGCACAAAATGAATTTTTTAAAAATTATTGTCCCAGGTCAGATCTTCCACTAACTAATTCTTTGATTTTGGGAAATCACTCAATTTACCTACGTCTCTTCCTTCCCAGTAAAGGCTCAGACTTTTTCATTGTTGTTAATCCTCACTCAAGGATATTTTTTCCATTGATTTTTAAAGAGAGTGGAAGCGGGGAAGGGAGAAAGAGAGAGAGAACCATCAATGTGAGAGAGACGCATTGATCGGTTGCCTCCTGCAGGTGCCCCAACTGGGGCAACCACGGTCAGGGATCGAACTGCAACCCAGGTACACGCTCTTGACCGGGGATCGAACCTGTGACCCTTTGGTGCAAGCGCCAACACTCCAACTACTGAGCCACACAGCTAGGGCAAAGGCTCGGACTCTTTCACCCCCCTAGTTAGTATAGCACCACACTAGACATCAGTACTCGATATGCAATAAACTAGAGAGCGTTCCACGCCAGGTATTTTACACTCACAGCAGCCCTATGAGGTTTTACAGATGAGGAAGCTAGGGCAAAGACTGGTGAGTGACTTGCCTGCTAACACATACCAAGTGGCAGAACCAGGATTCAAGCGCTGCACCTCCAACTCCCGGCTTCAATGCTGTCCCACCCCTGCCCCCTCGTTAACTGGCTCATCATTCAGACCGCGGGTTAAATGTCACTTCTTCGGGGAACACTCTCTGGAGTGCCCTTCCTAGGCCAGATGCCTGGGCCCAGGTGTTTTTGTTTTTGTTTTGTTTTTCTGTTTTTATTCTGTTGTTTTTAATAATTCTCTATTGTTGAAAGTGTTACATATGTCCCCTTTTTCCTCCATTGACCCCTTCCAGCCTGCCCCCGCCCCTGCCCCAGGCCCTCACCACCCCACTGTCTGTGTCCATGGGCCATGCATATATTAATACAAGGTCCTTGGCTGATCACCTCCCACCCACCCAGCCTCCCCGCCTTCCCTCCGAGATCCCGCCTCTGTTCCCCGCGTCCATGTCTCTGGGTCCCCTTGTCCATCAGTTTATTTTGTTCATTAGATTCCTCATGTGAGTGAGATCATGTGACACTTGTCTTTCTCTGACTGACTGACTTCACTCAGCATGACACTCTCCAGGCCCCGCCATGCTGCCTCAAAAGGCCCAGGTTTTAATAGCGCTGTTGGTCATTCCTCCGGGCATCAGCCACCGTTCTGACGATCTGGTGCTGTGCCTGCTTGTTTGATTAAAGTCTTGCTCCCCAGCCGCACCCATCCAAGGCTGTACGCTCCAGGAGGCCGGAGCTGTGCTGTGTGCCGCACCTCCACAGTCCCCGTAGGGGAAGGCCCAGGTGGGGCCGGTGGCCACTGTCCCAGGAGGCAGTGGCACAGGGCCAGGAACACGCTAGTCAAGTTTCAATGTCTAGTTAGTTGGCAATTACTCGGAAATTCCTATCACATATACAGGTGTCCCAAAAACGTATACACACTGACTTCTATTCCATTTTGAAAAGGAAATGTATTTTAATAAATGCTGCCTTTATAATTATACCAAGTGTGTATACATATATATGGATA